ATTGGCTTTCATGCCCAAGGCGGGACTAGAACTCACCGTCTCCTGGTTCATTAGCACCAAGTCAACCAATCAGCTTTCATGCCTAAGGCAGGACTAGAATTCAGAGTCTCCCGGTGACTGGCACAAAACCATCCAACTGGCTTTCATGCCTAAGGCGGGACTAGAATTCAGAATCTCCTTGTTCATTGGCACCAACTCAACCAATCCGCTTTCATGCCTAAGGCAGGACTAGAACTCGCCATCGCCTGGTTTTTAGCCTTGGGGCCTCCAACTTTTACCACTTTGCCCTTTTAAGCCGGCCAGGAAACTGACTGAAAACAGCTAAACTTGCCTTTTTCATGCTGCAGCCACTTGCGTTCCAGGTAATATTGGTAGCAGCGCTCAAACTCCGCATTTGTGTAGTTGCAAACCTCGATGGGAACGAAAGGATCGAGGGCGGCGAAACCGTCCTGGAGTTTGGAAAATAAGGGGAGGTGCAGTGGGGTGGGGTGGGGTGGAAATGGAAAATGAATACAAGGAGATTCTTTCCGCTTGCCCAGGAAGAGGAGAGCAATTAACTTGGAATGTGGACCCTTCCATCCTCCAGGCCTCCATCCTCCTTTCGAATAGAATATTGGCAGCTCTGGGCTGAAACTGTGGATTCCTTGCTGCGGTCAGAGAATGGTGGTTTTCTTGCAGACGTTTCATGACCCAGCTAGGGAACGTTATCAGTCCCAGAAAGAGGATTTATAGCTCCCCTCTAGCACTGATGATGTTCCCTAGTTGGGTCATGAAACGTCTGCAAGAGCCAAGCTCGGAGACCACCAAGGACCCCACAGTCGTCCTCCTCCTTTTCCTTCTCCTCTTCCTCCCCCCTCCTTCTCCCCCTGTCCACAACCCCCCATTTTCTTCTAGCACTGATGATGTTACCTAGTTGGGTCATGAAACGTCTGCAAGAAAACCACCACGCTCAGAGAGCACTAAGGACCCCACAATGCTTTGCCTCCTCCTTCTCCTCTCTCTCTCCCTCTGCAAACCACTCTTTCTTCTAGCACTGATGATGTTACCTAGTGGGGTCATGAAACGTCTGCCAGAAAACAACCGAGGACCCCACGGTCGTCCTCCTCTCAAACCACCCTCCCTTCTAGCACCGATGATGTGAGCTAATTACCTCCGCCTCCGCCTCCTCCTCCTCTCCCTCCTAGCACTGATGACGTTGCTTAGTTTGTGAATGAGAACCAGGAAGGTCAGGCAGCCTATCAAGGTCCTTCTGAACAGGCTAATTGGGGTGACAAGAGTTGGACTCCTACGAAGGGCCGGTTTCCCTCAAACTGGCTCCCCACTCACCCGTCCCAGCAGCTCATGCGGCAAATAAAGCGGTCGAGGCGTGAAGGGCGCTCCTGTCTGGCTGAGCGTGGCCACGATGGCCCCTCCTGCCTGAGAACAGACAAGAAACCACACGGTCAGAGCCGCAACCCGCTATCCGTGGTCGGCCTCCTAGAAGCCGCCGGCCTCTCGCTTGGCTCTGAAGGGGTCTTAAGTTTCCCGGGAGGGAAGGGGCTGTCCTCACCCAGTCGTTGTCCACCATCTTCCTGAGATTGTGTATCAGCGTCAGCTCCTCCACAGAAACCTGGAGAGGAAGAGAGAAAGAAAGAAATCCTACGTTTTTAGCAAGATTGGGAAAAAAAAGACGTTACGTCACCCTCCTTGAGGACGGTTAGAACACTGAATAATAGTGTCAGAAGGGACTTTGGAGGTCTTCTATTCCACCCACTCAAGCAGGAGAGCCTATCTCATTTCAGATTGGTTGTCCGATCTCTTCTTAAAAGCCTCCAGTGATGAAGTGCCCACAACCTCTAGTGGGAAGTAGTTCCACTGGCTTCATTGTCCTCGCTGTCAGGAAGTTTTCTCCTTAGTTCTAAGGTTGCTTCTCCCCTTGGTTAGTTTCCATCCACTACAGGACAAATGGCCTTGAGTCAAGAGCCGCTGTGAGGCGCTAAGCCTCGTGTCGGCGTTCTAAGGAAACTCCCCATTTCATTCAGCACTCGGAAACAAAGTCCATTCAAGTAAGAATTTATTAAATAAGTCCTACTGGCATATCTGGGAAAACTCGAATCGGGGAATTCTTGGGGTTTTCTTTTCCCAATTGAAAATTCAACAACCCCACCCGCTGCACCCACCAAGTCCACCCCATGGCCCAATCAACCACCATCCCAAACTGGACACGTTCCTTTGCAGGTAGAGAGCGACTTGTCCTTGACTTTTAACGAAAAGAATGTTGTTACGTCTATAATCTTCCACCTCTCCATGAAATTCCCCCTTTCCCAAATCCCTAGGTACTAAGATGTGGCAGCTTAGAAGCTGCTGAGTAAAAATACGTCTTCCAAAGCCGACGCACCAAAGCTTAAAACCGAGTGTCGCTTAAGTGTGACCCCCCCAAGGCAGGTCGGACGAGGGAACCTACGTTCTGCTTGTTGTGTTTCAACGCTGTCTTCCCCCAGAGGGAGTTGATCCCGTCCACCGCCACCAGCAGTCGGAAGGACCCCTGGCCAGATTGCTGCTTCAGCTCTTTCAAGATCACCCCGACAGCATCGCTGGCGTACGTCACCCAAGCCAAGCCCTGAGCCAAGGAACGAAGAAGAAAGATGAGCGGGGCGCGTTGCCATCCAGCGCAATAACCGGGCTACAAGCTCCATGCTTTGCAGGGTGGCGATGCAACCCCAAATTTCTTTCCAAGAATTTGAGGTGGCTTCCATAACGTTCCCAACTCTTGTATCCCCCCAAAACCATGACCCTGTTGAGGTGGGTCGGGCTGAGAGGAAGGGACTAGGCCAAAGTTAGCTTTCAGGCCTAAGGCAGGACTAGAACTCTCCACCTCCTGGTGGTTGTCCCAGAATGAACCAGCCCATGCTTAAGATGGTACTAGAATTCACATCCCTTGGTGATTGACCTAAAGTCACCCAGCTGGCTTTCATGCCTAAGTCAGAACTAGAATTCACTGTCTCCAAGTGATTGTCCCTGAATCATCTAGCCAGCTTTCATGCCTAAGGTAGGACTAGAACTCCCCGTTTCCTGGTGATTGGGCCAAAGTCACCCAGCCGGTTTTCATACTTAAGGTGGGACTAGAATTCCCCACCTCCCATTTTCTAATCTAGCCCCTGAACCACCACAACAAACCGGCTCCCGTTTAACATGCTAGGGAAATCCATAAAGCTCCTCAGAGACCTTCATTATTCACGAAACAGCCATGAATAATGATCACCCGAGTTGGCAATAAACTACCCCACGGGCGGTTGGTGTGATTCAACAACCATTCGTCCACTTTTAACACATGCCTCACCTTCTCAGCCAAGTCGCTCAGCGAACAGCCTTCTTCAGTGACGTCTCTCTTGCCCCATATGTACTTCTGTTTGGTTTTGATCTGCAGAGGAGAAGGAGCATTTAAAAAAAAAAAAATCCACTAAATGAGAAGTCAAATTGCGACATATTATCACGGTAGAACTGCAAGAAAGCCCAAACATATTGGCAGAAAATTCAGAAATGGATAGAAGAGATGTGGAAAAATTAAAATAGAATTCAGACCCGAAATTTTTTCTATTGGGAACGAATGGGGGAAAATTTGGCTACGGCTGTTAAGCATATCACTGGCGCTTTTTAAGTGAATCACAGGGTTGTTATACTCCCCCATGGATGCTGCAACGGTTGTAAACGGTCGTCAGTCTCTTTTTCTCAGTGCTGTTGTGACTTTGAATGTTCACGAAGCAAACAGTTGTAAATCAAAGATGACCCACAATCAAGTCCATGGTTGTTGTTTTTTTTTTAATTTCTCTCCCTCCCCAAAGCTTAAAGAGAGATTCTGCCAACCTGGGCTAAAAGCTTTCCGTTGGTGGTTCTGAAATTCTTCAGCCAGTTTGCTGCCTCCAAGGGCTGGTCTAACCGCTCGTTATTGTAAGAAGATGGAACCAGTTCTTTGCAGTTCTTCACCCAGAGGTGAGCTGCAAGAGGGAGAGAAAGAATACACCAAATGTCTCATTTTAAACATCAGATGTCCAGCATCTGCCATGCATCGGCCGAAAATGCAGCCATCCTGTCAAACATCACCAAATGAAATGGCCTCCTTCTGCAAAAAAAATATAAATGTATATACATATATACATATATGTTATGACTCACCAACACATATATACATATACATACATACATACATATATATATATATAATATACACACATACACACACACACACACACACACACACACACATTTTCTTGATCTTGTAAGCATTCTGCTGTCAAGAATATTGCCCCCAATTTTTAAAGAACAGGTGTTTGGAATAACCTTTTTTAAAAAACAAATACAGACAAAAGAGTTGACATTAGCTGCCCAAGGATTTTTTTCTATGTTAATGACCAGAAAAAAAAAACCTCAAAAACAGAGAGATTGATAGAAAAAGTTGGAAGGGAATATAAAAATGCGGAATGCTTTTAATGGGTCGTTACATTACGGCTTCTGCGGGGAAACCACGATCTCTGGCCAACATGGATGGCGCATTGTTCAGAAGAGCCCCTGGTGATTAGACTGCTGTATTATTGCAGGCTAACTCTGCCGACAGTCTGGAGGTTTGATCCAGGCTGTGGGCAGAAGGACTAGGGACGACATGATAGCGGGGTTCCAATGTTTGAGGGGCTGCCCCAAAGAAGAGGGGGGGGGGGTGTCAGTCTATTCTCCAAAGCACCCAGAAGGCAGGACAAGAAGCAACAGGTGGAAACTAATCAAGGAGAGAAGCAACTTAGAACGAAGGAGGAATTTCCTGACAGTGGGAACTATTCACCAGTGGAACAACTTGCCTCCAGAAGTTGTGAATGCCCCAACCCTGGAAGTTTTTAAAAAGATGTTGGATAACCATTTGTCTGAAGTGGTGTGTAGGGTTTCCTGCCTAGGCAGGGGGTTGGACTAGAAGACCTCATAGGTCCCTTCCAACTCTGTTATTCTGATCTTGACGGGGTTCGTGGTTGATTCGGCCTTCCATTTTTCCGAGGACAGTAAAACGAAGACCAAGATTGTTGCGGGCAATGTGTAAATAATGCTCCTACGTTGTAAATTGTCCCAAGAGTGCTGTAAAGCACGATGGGGCCGTATACAAGCCTTAAGTGCTATCGCTGTTGTTCTTACCGTCTGGAATGTGAACGATGACCCAATTCTGCCTTGCACAATAATGCACGGCGTGGCAGAGAACCATGGTTTTTCCCGTACTCTTCTCTCCATCTTCAAGACTGTTTAAGGAAGCCACAGCCCATACCCGTCATCTGTACTGTGGAAGAATGTGTGTGTGTGCCTGCATGCAGGGACAGCTACTCCTGGAGTTATGGCTACTTGTTTTATCAGCCATTCCAAGTTACAACGGCACTGAACATCGGGGTCACGTCACTGCAGGATACTCTAAATTTGAGCTGGGTGCCAAGCTTTCAGAATTGCCATCGCGTGACCGGACGTGTGTCACTAAGCAAGGACTACACAGGGGATCCTGCAGATGGCCGAGTGCGGCCCTGTTCTTATTCTGTAACTATTTTAGCACCATCATCATCGTCTTGGAATCTGGCCAGCCGAATGGAGCTGAGTGTTTTACTGGCCGGATGCCCTTCCTGTCGCCAATGCAGAGTTTTTGTTCAGCAGATAATATTCTCATCGTGCCCAGAGAGAGGGAAATACCCGCCTCCATCTAGGATCGAACCCCCAGCCTCCTCTGTTAACTCCATTTAGCGTGAGGACCAGAAACTTGCCCGGTCTCGTTCAGTGGAAAGAACAGCAACCAGAAAGGATACAGAGGAGATATCGGACGGCTGGATGAGACAAGTTGGTGTGTTTTAAGTAGGTGATGAGTTCCACCGCCGGCTGTCGAACCATGACGCAAGCCTCATTGAAGGTTTTCATCTGCCGGGGAAAAGAGAAAAAGGGAGAAAGTCAAGACCTTCAGATCAGTGCGAAGTTTGGGCTCAAGCGAAAGAGCTTTGGTCGCTTTCGAAGGCCCAGCCCTGGGGTTCACCCTGCAACGTTTTGAAAGGCGGACACATCACCTGGAGTTTGAAGCGTGCTGGTAGCCCGTGAGGAAGGGCCTCCTTTACTTCCTCGGGAGAGATGGTGTAATATTGACCTATGTGCTCTTCACTGTGTTTGGCCTGCAAAGATGGAAAGGAGGAGAGAGACGATGGCCGAGTTCAGTTCTTGTTGACCATCACGCCGAATTGTTTTTCTTTTTGGTTGTGGAAATTACGATGAAATATTCCCAAGGAGTTAAAGGGAACCACAGGAAGGAAGGACAAATCACTGGCCTGCATTGCCACAAGGAGCATTCAGGTAGTCCACAACCGAGCCCAAACTTTTAAGCTGCTAAGTGAGACATTTAAGCGAGTTTCACCCCGTTTTACGTGCCTCTCTTGCTACCCTAGTTAAGTGAATCGCTGCAGCTGTTAAATTAATAACGCGGCCGGTAAGTGAAACTTGACTTCTCCGTTGACTTTGCTCGTCAAGAGGTCGCAAAAGGGGATCACGTGACCCTGGGACACTGCAGTCGTCATTAAGTGCGAGTCAGTTGTCAAGCATCGGAGTTCTGATTATGTGACCACGGGGATTTTGCAACGGTCGTGTGAAAAATAGCTATAAGTCACTGAATGTACTGTTTTGTTAAGTCAAAGACTGCCTACATATCTTGCCGTTTATCCACCAGGTTGGGGTATCCAGAGAGCTCTGGATAAAAGCCATTCAGCCTTCGTGCAAACCTTCTTCCTCTCTTTGAGCCCGAAGAGGTGGGAACGAGGACACCTTTAGCCCAGCGGGCGAAGATTCCTTGCTTGATCCGCTGGGGATCTCGAGCTGAGAAAAATAGGTTTAAATCCATCTCCGTCATCAGTTCTGGGTGCCTATACCCACGCTGGGGTTTTATTTTATTTTTTTTGTTCCAAGCAACGGGGAAAGACCAGTTGCCAGGCAACTGAGAGACTCTGGATGGCAGAGAATGGCCCCATACTAGTGCTGGGAGGTGGTGTGTGTGTGTGTGTTACACACACAGGGTCTTGCCTGCCTGTTGCGGTTTCCATGGAGACCCCCCAGAAGATTTTTTTTTCAATGGCAGAAGCAGCTATAAAAACCTCCCGAGGACGGTTTTGCCTGCCACGTTTTGGGTTGCTGCGGTTCTTATTGTAACAGTGAAGATGATTGTGGTATGTTCTCCCTGTCAAATACACACCTAAGGGGAAATTCTTTTTTTTTTTTAAGATGTGCTTCTTTAAAATGACAGGGCTGTTTGATTATTTCTACAGACATCGTTGGTGAAAGGGCTGCGATGGCACCACCCGGTCTGATTATTTTTTTTAAAAAAAAATTGCAATCAAAAGCTGCACATTGGCCATTTTTAGGGCATCGAGTATGCTTGCACTTTATGTAAAGAAATAACTGTAATTCCAGATTTTTTAGAGAATGGTTGCAGCTTTCTTACAGGTGGAGAGCGGACTTGGGATCCCTCAAACAAATTCCCTTGGAGGCTGTGGGTAAATTGTGGAAGTGGAAATCAACTCTTATAAGGAAAACTAGAATTCACCTTCTTTGTAGGGTATTCTAATAGATATGTACACAGTTAGAGGAGGACCTAATTGAAAAAAGCTGTCATGCAGGGAAAGGTGGAAAGGAAGAGAGGCTGACCAGCAGGCAGCTGGAGGGGGCACCATTGGGCTACTGGAACGAACAGATTAAGGACGGATTGTCATAGACAAAATTTATATTTTTAGTTGCTAGGAATCAAACCCAAATTGGTGGCACATAATAAAAAATCAGTAATAGAATCCTGCAAGTCTTTGTGGTTTACCTCAAAAGGCTGACCTCCCTACCCCATCAATCCAAGTTAAGTAGATGCCGGAGAAAAGGTAACGCAGCGAAGCAGGCGGTTGCTTACTTATAATTTAAAATGATCACCAGATTATAACTAGATCCTACAGTCAAATGCAATTCATGCTGACCAAGGCAACCATTATTTTCCCAAATGAACACACCACAAGCTTGATCCAACAATAAATATTCTACTTTGCTTGGCAGAGTCACGAACCTTTGCCGGAGTCCACAAACAATTGGAAATACTGGTAGTTCTCGACTTACAACAGTTCATTTAGGGACCTTCTGAAGTTACAAAAAGCACTGAAAAAAGGGATTTTTCACACTTTACAATAGTTGCAGCATCCCCATAGTTATGTGATCAACATTCAGATGCTTGGCAACTTGGCTCATATTTATGACGGTTGCAGTGTTCTGTGGTCACTGTTTGATACCTTCTGAAGTCAGTTTCACTTAACAGCTGAGTTACTAACTTAAAAACTGCAGTGATTCACACAACAACTGTGGCAAGAAAGGTTATAAACTGGGGCAAAGCTCTCTCTTAACAACTGTCTCACTTGTCAGCAGAAATTTTGGGCTCAATTGTGGTCACCGGCCGAGAATAGCTGACCCCTTCCAAACTCCCACGCCTCCTAATGTTAACTCACTGGGTCGTTCTGGCTGGTAACAAGGGCCACTCTGAGCATTTCTGGTTGAAGCTGGGCATTTTGAGTTGACGTTGCCCTCTGCCAGGTTCTGGGATAGAGAAAGCCATCCTGTCCCAGCTAAGGGGAGAAAGAGTCTGTGAGTAGGGAGGTATCCTGGTTTTTCAAAACAACGGCTAGAAAAAGGAAAGCTTAAAAATGCCTTAAAACTAAAAATAAAAAAACTTTTTAAAAAAACCCTGAAACAAAGCTTTTTTTAAAAAAGAGAGGCATATTTAGAAACAAGTAGTTGGCTTAACCTTAGCCTGAAGATAAAAAGAGCAGCATGGTTGTGATCCCTTTTCATGATTGTGATCCCTTTTGGTACCTCAAAAACCATTCCTTGTCCCCAAATCACAGGCAGGTGGGTGAACTCACCTGGTATCCCCGAGGGATGAGTTTTCTCAAACTCCTCAGCATTGTTCCTCCTGAAAATAGAATACCTTTATTGTTATTGCATTCCATGAATACAATGAAATTTGAAAGCTACTCCAGCACAGTGCCCCAACACCACATCACAATCACACTATAGAGTTTTAAAAATTTAATAATAATAATAATAATAATAATAGGACTGAATCACAAATGCACTGTTTGATTCAGTACAATTACTGCCTTGGAAAAGAAACTGTTTCTCAATCTATTAGACCTCATTTTAAGACACCTATAACGCCTCCCTGATGGTAACAGATCAAAATATGAATGTCCAGGATGAGAACAGTCTGTGGAGATTTTTAGTGTTCTAGAGAGGAGTCTGGTCTTCGCAATCTCTTCCAAAGAAGAAAGAGAGCAACTGATGATTTTTTTGTGCTGTGTTTACAACACTCTGGAGCATCTTCTTATCCACTGCAGAGCATCCAGCATACCACACTGGTATGCTATAATAATAATACCAGCAGTTGTTTTAAACAAAAGGTAGCAAGATCTGTATTCTAAGCAGGGTTTTCACTTTTTAACTTTTTGAAAGCCAAGCAGTGATATAACTCCCTTGACGGCGTAAAGGAGAAATTGTAAATTTCCAGATCTATTACGGTAGAGAGCCAGCAAACCAACTCTAGAAAATGTGTAAATAAGATGCGAAAGGATCTCTTTCATCGTTCTCTTTCATCGCCACAAAATAGACAATGAGCTTCCCATTCAATCGTGCCTTTTCCAAAAAAGAAACCCCCATTTCTCCATTTTTCAGTATTTTTGCTTTCCAACCTCCAACACAGAACATACGGGTAGTCCTCGACTTATAATTCACTTGGTGGCTGTTCGAAGTTACAACGGCACTGAAAAAGGTGCCTTGCAACCTTTTTTTTCACCCTTAACGACCGTTGCAGCGTCAACAACCATGGTCACGTGATTAAAATTCAGATGCTTGACAACTAACTCATATTTACGACAGTTGCAGTGTCCCGGGGTCACGTGATCCCCTTTTTGCGACCTACAAAGTCAAAGATTCACTTAACGACTGTGTTCCTAACTTAACCACTGAATGATTCGCTTAACAACTGAGGCAAGAAAGGGGGTCAAAAGGGAGAAAATTCACTTAATATGTCTCACTGAGCAACGCTTTGGGCTCAGTGGTGGTTGTAAACCAAGGACTACCTGTACTGGGTTCTTGCTGGATTGTTTAGTGCCGTTTTTTCCTCTTCAGATTTGTTTCTTCTTCTCCTCCTTCCGATGCAAGGAACTTAAGCTCTATTTTCATCTATATTTTAAAGGAATACGTTTTAATTCACAGAAAGCTTTTCCACTTCGTAGCCACTACAGCAAAGCAGCCTGTCCCCCATTTGGAGCCCCCCCTCCATGTCAGGAAAGGCTGCACGACAACCCTGCGAGGTAGGCTCGAAGGAGAGAACAAGCCCCTGGCTGAAGGATGAGGCCGTCTTCGCTCACAAGACCGTCCCCAGAAGTTGTATGAAGAGAAACGACAGGCAGAATGACAGGTGCCTAATTCTGTGTGTCGTTGTCCCCCTCACAAACCTCGCATTAAATAGGAAATAAAAGCAAAACAGCCCCCTCCCCCAAAAGGCTGTCATCCCCACCTTCCGCCAAAACCGAAATATAACTTCCTACGAGAAAAAAAAGGAGAAAGAAAGCCAACCGACGTGCTAGATCGCCGTGAAGGGTTTAAAAAAAATAATCTCCGCCGGTCCCTCAGGAGTTTTCCGTCGTGCTGGGCGCCGCCATCTTAATCTGCCGCGCGCCTCAGCCCGGCGGCGCCTCAGTGTTCGGGCGACGGGTCCTGGCAAGGGACATTCTTCCTTCGTCCGAATCTTTTTTTTTTTTTTTTTCCCTTCCCTTCCCTCTTTGACCGCCCCCCCTCCCCACAGGAGCGCGAGTACGCGCCGCTTCTCCCTCACCCTCCTCTCTCGCCAAGGCGACGTCGATTGGCGGGCGGGCTGAGGAGAGGGCGGGCCCGCCTGGCAAGCGGCCGGCCTTGATTGGCGGAGGCTCCCCCCTCCGTCTCTCTTCTCTTTCTCCCTCCCCCCCCCCCCCCCCTTCGAGGCATCCAAGCGCTGAAGGGAAGAGTAAGGTTGGTTTCCCCCACCCCACCCCCCCCGAAAAAAGGGAGGGAGGGAAGGAGGCGTGGGCGTGGCCAGGGCGCGCTCGAGCGCGAGACAGGAGCGCGCAGGCGCGCGCTGAGGCCAGAGCGCCGCCGCTACTGCTGCTGCCGCCGCCGCCGCCGTCGCCGCCGCCGCTGCCGCCATTTTGGATCCGCGGCCGCCCTCAGGAGCGTGAGGGGGCGAGTGAAGGAGGCAGGCCGAAGGCCGCCGTTTGCCTCCCGGCGTTCCGGTTTCAAAGCATCGGCCGCAGCCGCCATCCGGCCTGCGGGATGAGGCGGCAGCCTGGCCGCGATACGGTGAGTTGCGAGGCGGCGGCGGAGGAGAGGTGAGGCGGCGGCGGCGGCGGCGGGGTGGAGGGTGGAGGGGGAAGGAGGAGGAGGAGAAAAAAAAAAGGAGCGGGGGGGGGGTTTCAGTGCCACCGCCCTGACAGCTAGGCCGAGGCGGGCGAGGCTCCGTGACAGGACTTGTTTTCCCGAGGCCGAGAAGGGAAAGAGCCGCTCGCCTAGGCCCTTCTCGGCTTTGTGAGGGGGCAGGAAAGGGGGCTCCCCGCGGAAAAGCGGGGGGGGGGGGAACCCCCCTTGGGGGGGGGGGGGGGGCGGGGGGGGGGGGGGAGGGGGGGGGGGGCCCCGCGGGGGAGGGGGGGGGGGGGGGAAACCCCCTTTGGGGAAGCGGGGAGGTCTGGTGGGTGTTTTAAAAGCCCTGGTATCCAAACGCGGCCGGTGGGGTTGAGGTGCCATCCCCTGCGAGTGTGTGTGTGTGTGTGTGTTGTGTGTGCACACTTGTATCTGAGCCTGGGAGGTCTGCGTGTGCACACGCTCATAGGCGGGGAGGAGTGCATGGGGTACGGGCGTGTGTATTATGGGAGCACACCTCCTTGGGGTGTGTGTACCAATGCGTGCATGGAGTATTTGGGTGTGTGTGTGTGTGCGCGCGTGCTGAAATTTATCTGAGTGTGTATGGTGTGTGCGTGCACACCTTGGTCTGAATCTGTTAGCTCTGTGTGTGTGTGTGCACCGTTTATGGGGGAGTGTCCTGAGGGTGCGTGCACACCTTTACCTGTGTGTCATGTGTGTGAGTGCACGTTTGTGTGGATCTCTTAGGGCTGTGTGTCCAACCCGTGTATTGGGGAGGGGGGGGAAGCTGTTGTATGGCGTTTGTGTATTGTGTGAGCACATCTTTGTGTGTTATGTGTATCAATATGTGTGTTGTGTTTATGGGGGTGGGGGTTTGCAGGCACCTTCATCTGTTAGGTTTGTGTGTTTATGGGGGAAAGGTTGTATGGTGTGTGTGTGTGTGTATTGTTTAAGCACACCTTTATCTGGGTGTGTATTAGGTGTGCCTGCACACCTGAATATTAGGACTGCCTGCGTCCCCATTTATGGGGGAGTGTCATCTGTCAGCATATCTTCAAGTGTCATGTATGTGAGAGCCCGTTTGCGTGAGTGTGTTAAGATGTGTGCACTTGTTTATAGGGGGAGTTGTATAGTGTGTGCGTATTATGTTAGCACACTTTTATTTGAGTGTGTATTAGATGTGCATGCATACCTTTATCTGAGTCTATTAAGTCTGTAGGTGCAACCATCTATGGGGGGAGTATATTATACATGCACACCTTTATCTGAGTGTTATGTGTGAGTCTTAGAACTGTGCACAGTTATAGACATTGTGTCATGGGTGTGTGTATTATGTTATGAATATGCACATGTTTATAGGGGGGGGGTGTATTATGCTTGTATGCATAGGTTTATATACACCTGTGTATACTTCCAATGATATATTAGAGTATCTCATAAATGCATAGGTGTACAGTTATACATGTGCATGCAGGATCCACCCCCTAGATACCTAGGTATATGAGAGATGATGGCTTAAGAGAGCTGCTTGATCTCTAGTTGGGTGGGAGTCCTATTTTGGCAAAGGATTTTGAGAAGGGGGAACTTGTTACATGTTGGTGTTTTGGCAAGGCCCCTTATATTGGGGAGTTTGACTGAGTCGGTTGCAGTTTCGTAGCTTAATGTTGTAGGTTTCCCTTTTGGGATTTTTGTTCAGACTCTTACGCTTGGTTTTTTTTGTTTTATACTGTCCAGGGCCAGATGGATAAATTGCAATAAGGGAATTTACACACACAATCCTTGTGGGATTCCCTCCTGTTGAGACTTTGTGTTGTCAGATTTTTGGGTCCTCACTGTTTACACTGGAGGTTGTGGTACAGTTCCAGAATTCTTGATCTTGGTGTCGAAGTCTTCCTCTTCTTAATTGTGATGTGTGTCTCTGCTGGTTGGTTTAACTACGTGTCTATGTGTGTAGACTTCTAGTTCTAGATATCTTTTTATAAAAATACTTTTTTGGTTGTCAATATGATGGAAATTCAGGTGGCTGAACCTTGTAAAATGTGTATGATAAACTCTTGACCATACAGTTCCATAGTTGGAAACTTTTACAGAGGGTTGCTAAATAAACTTGATTTCCAAGAATTATTGCTGGGTGTTCCCAGCATAAACTGTACATACAAGCCGAAGATTGATTCCTTGAAATCACCTCAGTATTGCCATATATTCAGCATAAGACATATTCCATTGGTGAAAAGTAGCAGAGAGTGTGCGATGTGCACACACACTCATGCATAAACACACACGTGTTTTGTTTGATATACAAATGTTGGAAAACTCTTAGCCAATCGCTGTTTCCCAGCGTGTCCATGCACCATAATAGATCATCACACATGACATTACATGTGCTTTGCATGCTAATTTTTTATTTAAATGTAGCCTTTGGCTCCCATATGGCGAAAGAGATTCTTGACAACCCGGTTAACCTGTTTAGAACTGCTCTGGAGAGCAATTCCTCCACAGATCCTGTGCAGATAGTTTTATAAAGTTCATTAATATTTTTTGTTTTTTTGTTTGTATGCCACAATGTGTAAGCTCCCACGAACTATTTAACTGGTCAGTTTGAGTTACATAAAAAAGAGAAGAAAAGGAGTGCTATATAAGATCTAAAATACATCCAACATCACATATCCTACAGCCAGAGGAAAGAGCAGGATTGTTGTGTCATTAGATGACTTGGGAATAAAATATACCTTATCAAGGCTGGTATCCATATGTGATTTTTTTTTTCTCATGTAGTGGAAGCTTTTCTTCTGTCTCTGAAACATTTTTATAGCTAAGAACTTTTGCTTTTGTTCATCAACCTTAGATCTAAATACTTATCACTCACGTTATCCATCACTTCTTGTTAACTTGTTCAAAGTTTGATTGAGGATTTTTTTTTTTTGTAATCTTTTTTAGAGAGAATGAAAACCATTTTGGCCGGTTCAGGGAATTCCAGGGTTATGATTGCCTCTCTTTTCTATGCTATTTTCATCCAATTGGTTTGGGAGTTCCCTCTTTGATACGTTCTTAAAATTTAACCAAGATTATCTCTTGTTGATAGACAATTAGAACAGCCTCAGTCTTATGGATGGTGGCCCTCCTGAGACCAGGAAATGGGCAGCAAGTACATTTGATAAGTAAATTTGGGGTACATTTTCCCAGAATCCCCAGCTATTTCAGCCATTGGGAGCGGAGGAGAAATGGGGAGCCTTTCACCGCTTTTGAATTGCATGTGCAGCTGTGGGGGGCTTGTAGAGACTGGAACACCCCCTCCTCTTCCTCAGGTTGTCACAACTATTCACTTGCTGAGAACCAGCGCTGGAGGAGCAAACCAGTAGCAAGATTTATATCCCCATTGGCGTAATTTATTACAGTTAGAAAAAAAATAAAAGGTCAGTTTGTTTGGATTTATGTGTCACTCATCTCATCCAGAGGTGGCATGCGCAACAGAAAAATTTGTATGAAATCCATTAAAAATAGATTTGTACAAGTCAAATCTTCCCCCTGCTCACAGAGTATTTCAAGAACTGTTTGCCTTGAAGCATTTTTTTTGATGTTTGTGTTTCTCTTTAAGTGTTTCCTTTTTAATTTTCATAAATGAAAAGCTGATACCATTTTGTATTAGTGCACAACTGGAGCGCACGTAAGCCTTGGCTCCAAAGATTCATAATTCTGAACCTCTGCCCTCGGAAAGGAAATCATTCTCTCCCCTTCTGTCTGTTCATAGTGAGAAGATGTTGGCCACGGACATCCGGGAAGAGCGACCTATGGACCGCTGGCCTGCCATCTTTTAAGAGAAGAAGTTTTGCCACAGCACATAACTGTGATGGACCCTCAGCATACTGCTATGTTAGGGTTGGGTTCTGGTTCTGAAGGGTTTTCTGGGAAGAGCCCCTCTGCGGGTGCCACGGGAGTTAGGCGAGAAGTGGAGGTCGATGGTAGCGCAAAGGAGGAAGAGGAGGAGAAGAAGAAGAGTCGTGAGAAGAGTGGCAGCGATGAGGCGGGGAAAGAGGGGAGCCTGTCGGATGCCCAGCACCAGTTTTCTGTGAAGGAGACAAACTTTTCCGAAGGGAATTTAAAACTGAAAATTGGCCTCCAGGCTAAGAGAACTAAGAAACCCCCCAAGAACTTGGAAAACTATGTCTGTCGCCCTGCCATAAAAACCACTATTAAACAGCCCAGGAGGGTGCAGAAAGTTGGAAAAATGGGTGAGGAGAAGAATGACCCAGGATCTGCGAAGCAGGTGAGTCGCACTTGGGTTTAAACCCTAGTGTCCCTATCCAGGGGGTTGGTTTGGTTTGGT